TTTATAATTATTATATATTATATATAATTATAAATATATATTATATTTTATTAAAAAATATATATATATAAAGTCAATGAGTAGATAAACAAGGTTTCCCAGGAAGCCCTTATATAGCTCCATCTCATTCTTGCCTTGTCTGTGGCAGGATCTTCTTATCTGTGGTCTTTGATTCTCTTGCCCCACCTACAGTCTCTTCTCTATAAGGATAGACTTTTAAAACATAAATCCAATCATGCAACTGCCTGCTCAGAACCCCTGTGGGCTTCCCATCAGGTCCTGTGTGCGCTATGACCTACCAGCCCCTACACGGGCAGGGCCCCGGTACCTTCTGAACTCATCTCCTACCCCTGGCCCCCTCACTAACCAAGCCCTTTCCCAGGGTCTTTATACTTGGATTTTTTTCTGTCTAGAATGCTAGAAATTCTCATGACTTTGCTCACTGCTATTAAGTGTCTGCTCAAATATCACCTCCTCAGTGAGCTCCCCTCCCCCGCCCCATTATCACTCTCTACCCCCTCCCTCTGCTTTACTTTTCTTCATAATATTTCTCACTCTTGAATATCGGGTTACACATATTCGTCGGTTTATTGCCTGTTTCCCTCACCAGGATGGAAGCTCCCTGAGGTTGGAGACTTTGCTTGTAAAGTTTACTGTGCAAGCCCCAGGGCCTGGCACTTAGGAGCTCAACAAACATTTGTCGAATGAATTGTTTTATGTTAGTGAACATCAATATCTTCCCCTCTTGGGACTTCTCGTCCTTTCTTTTCATAAAATTGAACATAAATAAAATTGTATAATAGTCACTACTAGGGATTGTCATGACGTATACATTTCAGAATTTGAATGGTCAGTAGACGTCATCTAGCCCATCAGTGTTCAACCTTTATTTTCGCCTTCCTGAAATGCAGAGTAGAGTCTGATACACTTTTGAGAAGACTCCTGTGGGCATTCCCATTTTTGGGAACTCTTCTCCTCACCAAACAGTAACTATTCCCGAACCTATTGTTGCTCTAAGAAAAGCTTTGCAATCATTTCTGCAGATATGTCCCAACTATTAACAGTGTCATAGTCTCATTCCTTAGAAGGAGAAAGTATGAAAGGGATTTAGGTGCACTGAATTAATGAGGGAACAGCCTTTAGGAAAAACCTGGATGGGAGTGAGGAGAGCGAGATAGGGAAGGAGAAGGAATCCCCAAGGATGTGGTGTTAGGTCAAGTCTAACCTTGGCTTGATGCACAAGGCTCACAGGGCAGAGCGGCCCTTCCCTTCAGGGTCTAAGCTTAACAACCTTATTCCAGCCAGTCATTGGGTCCCCCAGGCTGGGGTGGCCGGTGGGTGGCTTCCCAGGCATCTCTCCTTATTCTGTCAGTCAAGGATGAATCTGGAGAAGGCCATGGGAGTTAATCCTCAGTTGTCTTACTCAAAGCAGCCCACAGTTGGGTGCACTAGATGGTCAAGGGGCCTGCAAGGGTAGACATCAGCAACCTCTACCACAGATGGTTTCTCAGTAGTGACTATTCCCCACAAGCGACAGTTCTCAAACTCAGCAAGCACGGGACTCACTTGGAGGGCGCCTTGAAATCCATATTGCTGGGTTCCAGTCTCAGAATTTCTGACATAGGTCTGGAGTGGGGCCCAAAGGTTTATCCTAACAAGTTCCCAGGTGGTGCTAATGCTAGTCAGGGGTCAGGTGAACAACTTTAAAAAGGTGGTTTTTGTTTTTGTTTTTGTTTTTTTAAAGATGGTATCATTTTAAAGATTCCCTTAAAGTCACTCTCACATTAAAGAAACACAAATCTTACTCCAAAAAGCACTGGAAGTGATAGAGGTCTTTACTGAAAGTCTATTGAGGAAGGGGTAGGAGATGCCATGCCACACTCAGCAAACTTTCTAAGAGGTAGATTTTAGATACTGTTCCTCTGTTCAGCTTTTCATTCCTTCTTAAAACTACCATCTTCCCCAGTGTTACAAAACTCTCTGTATGTTTGCTGTAAGAAGGGCCACTTCTTTCCCATTCCAGAAAGTGTTGTAGAATGTGGGGCAGAAATACTTGACTGCAAACATATCTTCCAGTTTGCTTTTATTTACACGGAAACCAGCTATCTGTGCATTTTTATTCTCCAGGTCTTAGGAACAAATTACTTAGGATCTACCTCATAGCTGATGAGTAGATATGTCCCAGCCTCTATTTTGGAACTGATGAGTAGAGGGCCCTTGAGGGAGTGAGGCCTTCAATGTTTTACCTCAGAGTCTTTGGAGGTTTTCTTCTACCCTGTTCCTCCTCCAATCTCAATTTTCTAGATCTTGCTTAAAAGGAATAGTTTTAAAGGTTAGCGCGCGCGCGTGTGTGTGTGTGTGTGTGTGTGTGTGTATGTGTGCGTGCACGTGCATGTGTGTATGAGAGAGATTGAGAGAGATTTCTAAAATCATGCTTAAGGAAAAAGAGAAAAAAAAGAACAAAATCAAAAACAAAAAATCCCTTTAGTGACATTAAAAAGTAGTCCAGGAAAAAAAAAAAAAGAGGTGCTAAAACTAGGTAATTTTATTTGAGTGGACAAGTTGCAAATCATCATCAGTTTATTGAAAGATTAGCCTGAATGCTCATCAGAGGTTTTATTATTATTTGATTTTTTTCCTCCTGGGATCTTAATTTTTAAAAATTTCCTCTAGGAGTTTTTGACCTGAAAAGATGCCATCTAAAATAAACTCCAGGTTTGCCTGTCATCTTTCTGTGCTTAGAGTGTGGAATGCAACCCTTGAGATGTTAGAAGAAGGGTTCTTGCCAGTGGAATGGGTAAGGAAAGGAGTGGGGCATAATTTGTGGTTGCCCAAGTGGGCCGATGTTCACTTAGGTTAGGGTCGCTATTTAACCAAGTTGGTGAAACTTCTAGTTCGGAGATTAGAATCCCAAATACCTACTAGGGCCATTCAGGGAACACTGGTAAGTGAAGGTCAGACTGTGTAAGCAATGCTAATGGAGGGTGCTGTGGTGACCCGGAGAGGGTGATATGTTTCCTCTTCCGGGAAACACAGATTCAGCTTCTGTCTTTAGCAGAGAAACTGCACCAAGATTTTGTTGTGAAATCTTCTAATGGAGCCACACTGATTCCTCTTTTCCTACCCAGACCTCTCCCGAAGCTCCGTACACCATCCTCTGGAAACCCATTGCCCCTGTGGTTCCCGGCCTCCTGTGGAATCCTAGCTCTGACTCTCTGAGCCAACTTGTTGAATCGACACTGTTCTGTGAAGTGTCTTTATCTGGACATTTGAATCCCTGCTGAAATGTCTCTGTGTGTCCCCACTAGATTGTAAGCTTCTGAACTCTCTGAGCACAACGTCCGGTCTCCCATCCTTGTCTTCCCTGGAGTGACTCATCCCCTTACATGTATGGAACAGGACTGCAGGCCACATAGGTCGTGCTTGCTTTGTGTCCTTACTTGTTCTGTCCTGAATCCTGACTGTGGTGCTGTCAGGGAGGCCTGCCTCGAAAATGAGGAAACTGAGCCCCAGGCAGCCCACCCGACCTGGCCCAGGCATAAAGGAAGAGCTGGCCTTGACTTTGCTGCCCGTTACGTTACTGTCTCCGTCAGTTCAGGCCACCATGACAGAAATGCCATCAAGTGGGCGACTTGAACGACAGACATGGCTTTCTCATAGTCCTGGAGGGTGGGAGTCCAAGGTGAAGGTGCTGGGCAACCTGGTGTCTGGTGAGGCCCGCCTCAGGTCTACAGAACCTTCCTCTCACTATATCCTCACCTGGCAGAGGGCGCTGAGACAGGAAGCTGTGCTCGACTTATAAAGGCACTAATCCATTCAAGAGGGCTCCACCCTCAAGACCCCCTTCCATCCCAAAGACCCCACCTCCAAATACCGTCACATTGGTGGTTAGGATTTCAACCTATGAATTTTGGTGGGTGAGTCGGGGGCCACATTCATTCCATGGACATTCAGTCCATCACAGATGTAATTCATATGTCCGTTCCAGCGGGATCATACAATGTCTGAACTTATTTTAAAATGATACTCTTATTCTCCCCCACCCCACCCCCAGCCCAGGCCCACTTCAATTCAGAAGTCTGCAGTGTTGGGGGAGGGGGGGGAGGTGTCTGTGGGACTCCGTCGTTAAAGCCTCTGCCTTCAGCTCTGGTCATGATCTCAGGATCCTGGGATCGAGTCCCACATCAGGCTCCCTGTTCAGTGGGGAGTCTGCCTCTCCTGCCCCTGCTCATGCTCTCTCTCGCTTCCTCTCTCTTTTAAATAAACAAACTAAATCTTAAAAAAAAGAAGTCTGCAGTGGGGGGCCAGAGGAGGGGTACATAGTAGGCTTCCTTTCTGTTTTCTCACTTGTCCCTCTCCCCTACCTATGCTCCTCAGCCCCCAATTCCCACCCTGCTGGTGGGATAAACCTCTGGGTCCCTCCCTCCCTCCCTCCCTTCCTCCTTTCTTGCCTGTCTCCCTCCCTCCCTCTGTTTCTCCTTCCTTCCTTCCTTCCAAGATTTTGTTTATTTATATGACAGAGAGCAATAGAGAGAATGGGCGCATGATGGGGGAGAGGCAGAGGGAGAAGCAGAGTCTCTGCTGAGCAGGGAGCCTGATGCGGGGCTCGACCCCTAGATCAAGACCTGAGCTGAAGGCAGACGCTGAACTGACTGAGCCACCCAAGTGCCCCCTCCCGTCCTTTCTTAAATGTCTTCCTCAAGCTGCTCTTATTAAGCCTGTGGGAGGCAGGATTCTTACATGGCCGGAGTCTGTTAATTCTGATAAATGCTTCCGTGCTCTGACATTTCTACATGCACGAGGTGGAGATGGAGTGAAGGGTTACAAACCAATTTTCTCCATTTCTTGTAAGTCCTGCAAAGGTGGTCTAGACCCACAGCCACCTGTTATTTTGTGTTAAAACTTTGGGCCTTTTGTGTTTAACCGAAACAGAGGTAGTGATGATTCTACTTTAATATCCTGTAGTGCTGGTAACTCTTCCTCTGGACGTGGGCATCCAGCAGGGGTCCCTCAGAGTATTTGTCTGGGAAGTATCTGGTGTGTGTGGAATTGTGTGGATTGTTCTTTCGGACTCCAGCCCCCACCTTCTCCAACCCCTGCCCCCACCCCCAGCCCAGGACACCCTGTTTTATACCTTCCCTCATATTCTCTTCCCTCTTTGAAAGGAGGCACGGTGACCACATCAGGGGATATCGTTTGGTATCTACCTCGCTTTTGTCACTCAGAAAACGATCCCAAGTTGTTAAGAAATATTCTAAACTTTGTGTCGCTTTTCACGGTGATACTATTTAGCTGACCTTAATTATTGAAAACAAAACAGAAAACAAAAGAAACACAACTACTCCCTCCTCCTCCCCTCCAAAAAAGTCTAAAGATTCCCTGAGATTTGTCATATACTGAGTTCAGTGTCTCTAAAACCGAGAGCTATGGTTTTGCTGGAGTTTCTACTTAATCTCCCAGTTTTGCCTGAAGCCATGAAGTCGACCTCTGAGCAGAGGCTCTCTCCAGCCCTTACTGCCGAAATGAAAACCATGTGCTTGTGTGGCGTTTCTTTGTTTTTCTTTTTAAAGTTCTTCTCCATTATTTAATGAAACTATTTAGTAATGCATAGGTCTTAAATAATACGGTTCGCATGGGCTGTTATCAATTAAGTCACATTAACACAAACACTTGTTCTCAGAAGCAAATTTAACTCTGGGCATGTTTAAAGCCGTTGGTAACACCCTGGAGGAGGTGGGAAACTCTTTGAATTTTTACAAGTCAGACAACACAGGACAGTGCATAAAAATACTGTGTGTCTGAAAGACTTAGTACTCGCACAGGCCCCACCCATCTTTTCCTCCTTTCAGGAAAGGAGTTTATCCGCCTGAACTCCCATCCTGGGTAGTGTTACTTCTGACACTGGTTTAGTGGTAGAAAAATCTAATTCACGCTGGTGTTCATTCCCATCCCAGAAATCGGGATGCGAGTCGCAGGTCTGTACACCAAGTGAGTTGTGAAGATGTCTCCTCCTTCCACCTGCCAGGGGTTAAGATTGTCTGGAAAAGAAGAATTTCAAGGGTATGACTTGGATGGTGAAAATCACCCTTTTGATTCTACTGGGGAAGTATTTTAAAAATAAATTCCTTTTTCTGTTTGTTTGTTTTGAAAACAGACCAACCTAGCACAGATAGGTCATCCTTGAGTATCATTCTTGTGCAGCAAACACAACAGAGGTGTTGATGGCGGTGGGATGGGGAATTCTTGCCACTGTGACCTAATCTGTGAATCGCAAACAACGTTTGGACTTCTTGAAGCCCCTTCTCCCATTTCCTGGCATCCCCAGCTCCTGTGTCTTTGCACGATGAAAGGAAGGTCACTCTATGGCATGCTCCCAGATGAACTCTCCTTAGTTCCCACAAATCAAACAAGTGAAAGAGCTCCACTCTCATTTCCCAGTGAGCGTGCTCTCACGCAGGAAAGCAAATGAACGAGGGTGACTGGCAGTTGGATGTGACTGAGTCTCCAATGAGCTCCAGACTCGTAAGTGTTCAGCTGTGAGCTGCCATATGCACTGGGCTTTGCCCACTGGCAGCAGTTCACACTCTACTCATGTGAACGGACTTTCCCTCTGTCCCATGTCCTGTGTTTGCTATCTCGAGGCTGGGCATAGGCATGTTACCAAACGTACAAGCTACTGAATGAGCGATCTGCCCCGATGTCCTGTCTCTACCTCTCCAGGGTCCACCAGTTGTCAAGTGCTAATTCCTCCTCCTTACGCAGTCCCTTCCAGACTATTGTTCAGTCTCCCCACACTTGTCACTGGACACACTCACTGCCATTTTGGTGCCCAAGCCCACAGATCTGCTTGCCATTTCCTCACCCAGATGGGCTGCCAGTCTTTGGATCCCCTGGATTCTTCACAGACCTCTTTCACGTGGTTTTCTGTCCTCCTCCCTTCCCCTAGAACCACTGTCCCCTTTGTTCTCTTACTGCTCTCCCACTGGACACACTAATCCAAGGATTGGATTCGATGGCCCTTCCCTGCAATCGACCTGCCTTTTTTCCTCCGCTGGCTGGTTCTCTGAGGTTAGACGTGTTTTTGTCCCCATCTCGTCGGCACGAGGCACAGAGCAGCTGCTCAGCATGTGGGAGTTGGCCGCACTGACTGGATGTGGACATTGTAGAAGATGAGCTTATGGGCTCAGTGGCTGAGCTGGGTGGAGGAGGTGTTCCTGACTTGAGCCCCAGTGGGCGCTCAATAAATTCCTGTGAAGTTTGGTTGAGAACTGAAAGCAGAGGCTCTCCGGCCTGCCTCCTTTGTCACCCTGCCTCCCTGCTTCCAGCAGGCCAGAACGATGGTCACCAGCAATGAAAAACACTGGTTTTCAGTTTGCTGGGTCCTCTTGTATGTTACGTGGCTGAAACAGGGATACGTCAGGAAGCCAGAATGGCCTTTCACCCCTAAATCTAGAATCCCTTCAGAAGGGCTGAACTGTGACACCAAAACCTTAACTTAGACCAAAGTCTACAAATTGTTCCTACAAATGGAATTCATCAATCAATGGAAATCTATTAAATGCTTGTTCTATGGACCCAAATATTTAATTGGGGTTACTAATGTTTACTCAGATTAAACATGATATATGAGCAAAAAGAATTGCTCAATGAGTATTAGGGTAATTGGTGTATTCATTTGTGAAAAAGTAATTTTCAAGTTTATTAAAGAATTAAGCGTAAAGTATAATACAGGAGGAAACATAGGTGAATTTTTTTTCATAAAATTAGAGAAATCATGAACATGACAACTAATGAAGAAACCATTTGACTATCTAAAAACTAAAATCCTGGGGTGTCTGGGTGGCTCAGTGGGTTAAAGCCTCTGCCTTCAGCTCAGGTCAGGAACCCAGCGTCCTGGGATCAAGCCCCGCATCGGGCTCTCTGCTCTGCGGAGAGCCTGCTTCCTCCTGTCTCTGCCTGCCTCCCTGCCTGCTTGTGATCTCTCTCTCTCTCTGTCAAATAAATAAATAAAATCTTAAAAAAAAAAAACAAAACTAAAATCCTCTGTGTGTCTATAAACATAGCTACATAATATAAAGGCAAATACCATATTTTATGGCATTTAAGACATTGATTATATGATACATCACTTTATTATCAATGTCACTGAGAATGGGAAAAATAACAAACCACCAGTTAAAATATGATATGCTGTCAACTGGAAAGCATGAATTGATTTTAAGGATGTTAAAATGTGGGGGAAATGTGCTTCTTGGGATCAAGGAAGTATGGTAGCAAACTAGGAAAAAAATGACAGAAATACGTCATCTGCTCACCTCCAATGGGAATATAACTTAGTACAATCTTTCTGGATGTAATTTAGCAGTTATGTACCAAGATTTTTGAAACACACATCCTTTTGACCCATGAATTTTACTTCTTGGAATTTGTGCTGAGGAAATCATCAAGAATGTGTAGAAAGATTAAACTACATATTTGTTCACTGCCATAACATTTATAAAACCAAGACATTGAATCACTTAAATGTTCAGAAATCAGTGATTAGTTTCTGCAACACATTATAGCATATGTCATATCAAGGGCACTGTCTTCTGTCATATTTAAAAATGATGCTTTATTGAATATTTAATTTAAAATTTAATTTAAAAGTGATGCTTAATTGAATGAAAAAAGTGAAGATTGAAAAATGAAAAGATCTTCACTGCATGTTTTGACTGTTTCTCTAAGAAAACATCTATAGATGTAATGTGTATTATGTATATGAATATACAGAGAAAAAACCTGGAACTAAATTTATTTTTTTTTATTTTTACTTTTTAAATTTAAAAAAAAATTAAGATTTTTTATTTGACAGACAGAGATCACAAGTAGGCAGAGAGGCAGGCAGAGAGAGAGGGGGGAAGCAGGCTCCCCTCCGAGCAGAGAGGCCGATGCGGGGCCCGATCTCAGGACCCTGGGATAATGACCTGAGCTGAAGGCAGAGGCTTTAACCCACGGAGCCACCCAGGCGCCCCTGGAACTAAATTTATATGAAAAATGACTGCGGAGGGTGGTACCATAACAAACTTTTATTTTTTTTGTTTTATTCATCTATTTTGGTTTTTTAAAAATATAATCTATACTAGCACAATAATGAAAAGTTATTTGCTATTTGAAATGAAAATCTGCCTTTAATAGATGTAAAAAGACTATTGGATGCACGAAGGTGAGAATACAAATGAAAATCATTGAGAAAGAATATAAACTGGGCCCTTGACTTTAGTCATTTGTGCAAAATCATATTTCATGCCAAGTAATGAGCATTTTGTATAAAAACTAGTTTCTCCCTGTTTATTGCTACTTTGATTAATAACAAGTCAAGTTCCTATTTGTGTCTCATGTGTGTCTTCAGACGCTAACCCCTGCAACCAAATTCAACAAAACCTTGTGAAAAATTTTAGAAACGATTCTTGAGAAGTAACCAGGCACTTAAAAATTAACAAGTATTCGGTGTAACCCGACCTTGACTGTCACATTTTAACATCTGTTTTTCATGTTGTGATACTTATTTGAGATCTGGTATTATTAAGTAACGAGGAAAATATCTGACTGTTACCCTAGGTAACAGGGCAGTAATTTGAGGCGGATGGAGTGGCATGCTTTGTCCATATAATGTAATTCAAATAAAGTCATAACATTATGGCTCTAGACTTCATCCGTCAAACATTCGTACATTTTTTTCTCTGATAAATGAACTGCTAGGCTTTATGACTGGTTAATAATAGTCCAATAAAAAGGAAGAGAAACAGCCTTTGGCTTTCCATTTAAAATTGCCATCAGCAGCCTGGAGATTTAGGTATATACGTAAACATTTTTAAGTGATTCTGCAGTGGCATTTTTTTTTTTTTCAGTGAAGGAACTTTGAGTATTTTAAATAATACTTATTGAAATGGATTCCACATACTTGTGTCCGAGCCAGTGTCCACACTATTGCCACAAACTCTGGGAACAAATTCTTATAATATTAGAGACTGCA